TTAAAATTTTTTTTTTGTTGAAATTAACAGAAATTATTCAATAAAACAACAGAATGCGCAGTATAGTCCACCACTCTGGTTTTTTTTTGGCTGGGCAGCTCAGCGTGCTGCTTGTCTTTTTTTTTCATTTGCTCGTATCTTATTGCATTTTTTTCATTGTTTTTAAAGTTTGTTTGCTGTAAATGCAAAAAAAAAAGAGAAGGAAATTCAGCTGCTAAATAAATGGAAATAAACAATTCCTCTTTTCACTAATAGCATACGCACTGCCCAAATAAAGCCTGCTTTTGGGAAACGATACATCCAGGAACTAATGACATAAAATGGCAGCAACAGCAGCAATAGTAGTATTAAGAAATTGAACGATTGCAGCAGAATACAGTACAAGTGAAGCAAAGAAAGAAAGAGACAGAGGAGAGGAAGAGGCATTAGAACATGTGAAACTCAATTTCGCGCTATCCACAAAATGTACATTTGAAAAAAAATTTTTAATTTCAAAAGAAGAAGCTAAATATTATATGAACGGTAAAGGCAAAGCGAATGGTAGATACAGCAGTTTGAATATTTGCAGGATTTAAGCAGTGCGCATCGCTCAATAACAGCAGGCAACTATAGCAATTTTTAACAGAAAAGAAAACAGTGAAGATTTTTTTTCTTTTATGTATACTGAAAACAGCACTGGGATTGCTTGCCTGTATTTAGTAGCAATGGAATGAAGATAAGTAAAGCGCGTAGAGCATTCACAAGATGAGCTTTTATAACTATGGCACACACCGGGGAGTAACGGGTGAGGAGATGTGGCCACTGGGATGAGTGCCAAACCGGAAAAAAATTCATCATTGGATCAAAAACAGCCCAATTCTTCCGGAATCTTAGCACCGGATTATCCAACCGTACTGAATGAAGGAAAAAAAAGGGAAGACGAAAGAGGGGACGGAGAGCAGCATAAAACTCAACCATCGAGGCGTAGAAGTTGACCTCTGAGAACAAAAAAACGGGCAAAGGTGGCCAGGAACGGGTATCGAAATTCACCTCATGACCAGTTTTATCGGAAGTATGGCCTCGGGGTTTTGTTATTAAAGCTTCCGTCTCAAGTACTGTCTCAAAGCTTCCAAATGCAGGGGTTAATATTTCAATGCATGACAACTATCTAAAATTACAGCAACAGGAATTCACCAGTGCAACGATCACCGGAACCGTTAACAACCTCTAAAAGCAACCAGATATGTTACGCATACAAGGCCCGTCGTCAATACAAAAACACAAACAGGAACAAATTAAAGTTTTGTGATTTCGTTTGGCTTGTTCGAGTCAACGATGGACCTCGGCTTGTTGGGTAACGGTGGTTTGGGTAATGTATTATAGGATGACTCACCGGGCCCAAATGACTGCTGCTGTTGTTGCTGATGAGGGTGGTGCGGGTGCTGTGGTGGATAGGTGTCGGTGTCCAAATGCACCAGCGTCCGATTGTCTTTTGTGCACGCTACTGGAACACCCGAAAGCGTGCTCTGACTGCGATGTACGTTACCGCGCTGAGAGCTCGGTGGTGAAGTTTTGAGGGTTTCCTGTGATCGTGCTTGCTCTGTTTTGTTGCTATTACTCGATGGCATGCGATATTCACCTTCTGGACTGGATGAGCGTCGCACATTACGTGGCGGCGGTGGCCGTGTTGGTCGACTTGGCTCCTGATAGGAACGGGTCATCTGCTGGCCAGCAGCACAGCTATCGTCGCACACTTCAACGTTGATCGTCTTCCAGCCGTACTCGGTCATCGAATCGTTCGATGCAATCGATGGACTTTTACATGCAAGATTGTTCAGCTGCTCAAGACTGGAAGAGATTTCCTCCAACACGTCACTGTTACATGTGTTCAATTGTTCTGTTGCTAACACCGATGCACCGTTGTTGTTGCCTATGACAGGTGGTGGCGGTGCTGGCCATTTCGGACGTGAACGTAGAGATGCTGTTGGTTGAGTCTGAAGCGGCA